AATTGATGCCAAAGATGGGTAACTAAGATATAAAAGAATAAAAATATTTGAAGAATTTAGAGACATCTGCGTATAATTTTCAACTCACTTGGATTATTTAAAGAAAGAAAGAAATTTCTATCCGACTCAGTTTTGTTGCAATTCTTGATATTTATGTTTATTGTGCATCTCGATCTACAGTAAATTCTCCTTAATTGACGCTCAGATTGTGCACCAAAAAATTGTTGACCACTGGTAATTGTAAAAACGAGCCGTTAGGGAGAATTTACTGTATTCCAGAAATGGTTCTGGATGTGTAATTTCCGTCCACAAAATGCTTCCCAATTTTGTAAATTTGGTTTATGCGCAATAGCAAGAGATAAACCGATGTAGGCCACTTTCTAAATGTCAACGAATTAAACAAAAAATCTCAACTAAATTTTAGTTGTATCTGTGATTTTACCAATTTATGCAACATATTTATATTTAGTTATTGATACAGTTTATAGTTTCCAATGCAATAAAATCTTCTATACTTCTGACATCGACGTTTAACCATTACAGAAGATACGAGCATAAAATTAATGTGAATATTATTTGTCTCATTGGCAACTGAACAACAAAAAACTTCTAATTACCGTAGATGCAAAGTGATTGATTAACATTATTTTTACAAATCATTGGAAACTTAGGAAATAATTGAACTGTATGCGTGGATACTACAACAAAATAATAATAACAACAATAACTTAGGAAATAATTTTCAAATCAAATTCTAGACTGTACAAAATCTAAGAATGTTGAACGATATAATTTGATCTATGATTGTTCACAACGTAGCGGATTCCGTGGTTCTTCCGCAAGCATTTCCTAAATTTTCAGAATCTCATTGACCGTAAAATAAATCACGGAGCTTCGCCAACCCCCTAAACACAGCATTCAGAGCACCTTTCAAACAAACAATTCCTCCTTCACGCCCAAATCCCATTTTCCCCAGCAACGGCTCAGCCTCCATCAAACATTCCAGGAACCACGGTAGACAGAAGGAAATAAATCGCAGGAAAACAATTCGACTGTGTCGATCGAGGTACCGCGTCGAATCCTAAAAGGTTTCGAGTGTCCGAAAGGGTTGTCGGAGGTTAAAGAGAAAAGCTGACGATTTCGGCGTCACGACCGCCGAACAGTTCAAAGGAGTCTGGATCACGGTTGCGATCGGGTCGAGTGGACACTCCGATTCCCGGTCTAATTTAATTATCCGGCAATTTCACGGGACGCGAGCCTCGGAGACGTCGTCCATTCAAAGGTGGAGACGTTCTCTCGGCGGAGGCTTGTCCCGACGATCGGCAAACCATCCGTGAATTTAGACGGCAGATATTTTTCCGCGGGTTTCGAGGTCGTCCGCGCCCTTCACCGGGAAACAGAGAGGGCCTCGGGCGTCCGAAATTTCCACCGCGAGAACGCGAGCTCATTAAAATCATTTACACCGGTCGCATCCGTACCGCGTAATCGATTCCGCGCGCTTCGATGCGGCGCAATTTCGTCACGCTTGAAATAACATTTCTCTTTTCTCTCATCCTCTTTTTCTCTCTCTACTTCTCTCATTTTCTCTCTCTTTCTCTATTTCTCTATTTCCCTCGTTTTCTCTCTCTTTCTCTCTCGTGTTAGTAATTTCTCTCGTGTTCTCCCTCTATTTCTTTCTCTCTTTCTCTCTCTATTTCTCTCTCTCTCTTCCCCTTTATCCCTCTTTCTCCCTCTTTCTCCCTCTCTCTCTCTCTCTCTCTCTCTCTCGTTCGCTCCTCTCCCGGTCTCTCTTCGTTTTATTTTGTCGCTACGACCCATATGCAGAGCCATTCATTTGTCCCGCGCGTATTTCGACGATTAATAAGCGACCCGGGTCGTCAGAATCTCGAACGCGACGGAATTTTTCGCGCGTCGACGAGCTGACGCGCTAACATACTATTTCGAACCGTGGATAATGAATAGTCTATTTGATTTTCGCGATTCACTTTGCCTGCCGGTGGGTGCTTATATCCCGATTTTCGGGACTTTCGAGCACAGTTCGTCAAAATTTTATCCGGATCACGGATGACGGGTAAGGAGTAACGGATAACATTTTATTCGACAGTGTCGAATGAACGTCCAGTCGAACGAAAATTTATCTAGATAACAATTTATCTGAATAAGATCTTATTAAAAATGATAATTGACTGAAATTATTCCGATGATATTAAATCTAATAAAATTTCATTTGAACATGTAGTTATTTGTTATTCGAACAAGAATTTATTTATACAGGAATTCGTTCGGAAAGTAATCGATTTGAATCAAAATCTATAAAATTATAATATGATATAATAATATATAAGTATTAAATTATAAAATTATACACTTCATTGAACCACTTCTTCCAAGTTAATTAGATTAATCATTAATGCAATAATTAAATCATCTTTCTGTGGATGCAGCAGAAGGCATCGTACATTTCAGGAGTCATTTGTAACAACACCTACATGTATGCTTAACAAATTAGGTAAAAGACCGGTTGACAATTATTGCCATTATTATTCCAATAATTTTATACTATCACTATTCGAATAATTTATTCGAATAATTAATGGAGAATTATTCGAATAATTTATTCGAATAATTAATGGAGAATTATTCGAATAAATAGATAGAATGATTTGCTACGAATAAGTACATAGAATAAATAGCTAGAATAATTTATTACGAATAATGTATAATTGTTATTCGAATAAAATATTCGGCTAAAAAGACTTCAATTCCAAGAAAGTAATTCGAATAATGCTCATCTCGGTTATCGACAAATTCGGCGATATTCAAACTGCTGTGGTTCCGCGAAAAATAATCGTATGATAACAAACCTTTGCTTGATCGAAAGCTTGAGGCTTCTACTTTTACGTACTAATGTTCATTTCCTTCGAAAACATTTTTGCGTCTTATGGCAAGCCGGAACCTAGAACTACCTTTCTACTAAGAAATGATGTAAATTGGAGCGCATGTAGAAACTTCGGGAAAATTTCTCGAAGAACGACACTTCTATGGATTTGTAGAGTAAAGCTTCCTCTTTGCAACGATTCCTTAAAACTTAATCCGCGATTTTTTTTAGTCGTTTTATGCAATGAAAACGAGGATCATGTTTGATATCAAAAATTGTTCCACATTGTTGCAAAGTCGGCGGTGCATTTTTCATTTAGATCTCAATAAAAACGACCGAAAAAAATATCGTACATCTAGTTTCCAGGTGTCGTTGTAAAGCAGAAACTTCAATCTTCAAATCTATGGTAGGTTTATTTACGAAAATAAATTGTCCAAGGTTTTCAGAGCCGTTTCAATTCGCAACAATTTACCAAGAAAACGTATCGTCAGTTTCTCAGCTGTCATATTCCCTGAAATAATGTCACTAAAAAATGATCGATATGTAGTAAAAGTAGAAACTTCAGGTTTTAAAATGAGACGTAAATCATTGTACGATTTCTTTTCTCGCAATTATCACAATTTATTTCGAGAGAGACACCGCATACATAGGGTGAACTATAAATCCTGATCATCTTAGATTACATATTCCGTGGTTATCAAGACAATTGCCAGTCTTTTTATCTGGTACAGCATCGTTCAAAAAGTGGCTCGAGATGAACACAGTCAAGTAATCGATTCGTTATTTGTTATTCAGTACGAAAATAAATGATTCGAGAACATTGTTTTCACGATTACTAAACATAACAATACTACGATTGGACTTCGTCGAATGGAATGATTCATTTAAGGGGCCCATTAATCGTGCCATTCGAGGGTCGCCTGTGCCTGCCAGTGTTCAGAACAATGATTCTCGATCGTTCCACGTAAATCGGTGTCCAGATCGCGGCACACTCGGACACTCGGCGACAAGGTAAAATGAGAAATCTTTTATTCAACGAATCGCAGAAGTTAAAGAACACGCGAGATAATGGTGACTTAATGGAATATAGAAGGATGGTGGATGTAAATAATAAATGGTTAACCCAGTTCTAGTTGGAAGTGTATATTGATCCGTTTAATAACGTCAGCCTTTCTTGTTATCAAATGTTTTTCAGGATGAAAGCTTGCGTATTGCCGCCCCCACGAATCGTTCACGCAAGTGCCCCGTCCTGAAACAATAACTTGGAAAATGTGTCACAGTCGAATCTAGCTCGACGCAAACAATCGTTTCGTCGTCTCTGCCAAGCTTTCCACTCCTTTCATTTTTCCCCACAGTTCGTCTCTAAGTACATTGCGCACTTCGTTACATATCGATTTTTATTTTGCCGAAACGGTTAGTGGGAATTATTTACAGAACAAACTGAGTCGAACAGTCGTTATTGTCCTAACGATAGTTAAGTAGAGTAGTTATTATTACAAGGTGTTAGAATGAGAAATTAAAAGTTAATACGAAATTAGTCAATTGCTTTTGACTGAAATCTAACACTTTTTAAATTAATCTAACAAATCCTGCGATTATTGTTTTAGTAGCAACACGTAATTAATATACTCTTTAAACGACTACAGACTCTTGACATAATTCTTTAAATTCAGTTCTTTAAGTCTCTCAATAACATCAGTCGTTTAAACGATAAATACAGGCTTTAAGGAACCACAAACCGTTCCAGAAGGTTTCCACAAACTTTCAGAAGCTATCACGTAGCATTTTGAACTTTCAAACCGTGCACCACTAAATCCAAATTTCCTAGCAACGTCTATGGTTCGGAACCGAGGTATCCTACAAAGATCCTCAGGTTTCCCGAGGCCTGATTCGATAGTTCGATAATTCTTTTCATCGTCGGGAAAACCACCGGAATCGTGCGCGACTTTAGAAATCGCGGGAAGTCGATGCAATCCCTCCTCAAAGTTTCATGGCTTTTCGTCGAAGTTTCTCGCCGCGAATAAAACCGGGTCCGCCGAAATTGGTTTAGCCGTTGGGAACCGGTGCGAGACATTCGGGAAAAGGAGCATATTGCCGGTCACAGTGTCGAGAAAATACTTACGTAGGGCGGCGAACAGTAGATCGCTTTACACCACATTGGCTCCGAGTGATAGCAAACGCAGAGACTGCAGACCGATGGGCCCGGCACGTATAGCTCCCCGTGCCGGACAGTGCCGCCCTGGAAATCTGTGCAGTTCTCCTCTAGAGCACCTGGAACAATCGTTATTTTCGCTAAATTACTCTCAAATGTATCCGTGTACTTGAATTGTCGAAAACGATAAGATTCGTAACGGGCGAGACGCGGGAATGCATTGAATCGCGTTGCGAGTTTTTACGTTGCTCAATGGAAAAAGCTTTACACGAGACTTTATTTATGACAGTTTCCTATAATTTTTACATTCGATCTTCGGGAAAGTAAAGTTTAGACGACAGTGGAGGCTTTAGGTTTTGAAATCAGCGAAAGCTGAGTTTCGTACGATTCTTTTTATAGTGACTCAACGATCGACAACTTTTTGGCCGAAGTTTAGTGTTCCTTTAACTGTGCACACGATTCTGTTTTATCCTGTCAATGTAATTGGATTTTAAAGAAGTAAAGTATGGAGATGTAAAAGTAGAGATTTCATACTTTAAAATGAACCATTGCGAACTTTCATACGTTCTTTTTTTAAGCAACTATAGTAACTTAAGGATCGACAATTTTTTGGCCGAAAATTAGTGTTCCTTTAACTATGCACTCGAATCTATTTTATTCAATCAATGTAATTGGATTTTTAAAAAAAGTAGAGTCTAGGGATGTAAATGTAGAGATTTCATGCTTTAAAATGAGTCATTGTGAACTTTCATACGTTCTTTTTTTAAGAAACTATAGTAACTTAAGGATCGACAATTTTTTGGCTGAAAATTAGTGTTCCTTTAACTATGCACTCGAATCTATTTTATTCAATCAATGTAATTGGATTTTTAAAAAAAGTAGAGTCTAGGGATGTAAATGTAGAGATTTCATGCTTTAAAATGAGTCATTGTGAACTTTTATACGTTCTTTTTTTAAGCAACTATAGTAACTTAAGGATCGACAATTTTTTGGCCGAAAATTAGTGTTCCTTTAACTATGCACTCGAATCTATTTTATTCAATCAATGTAATTGGATTTTTTAAAAAAGTAGAGTCTAGGGATATAAATGTAGAAATTTCATGCTTTAAAATGAGTCATTGTGAACTTTCATACGTTCTTTTTTTAAGCAACTATAGTAACTTAAGGATCGACAATTTTTTGGCCGAAAATTAGTGTTCCTTTAACTATGCACTCGAATCTATTTTATTCAATCAATGTAATTGGATTTTTAAAAAAAGTAGAGTCTAGGGATGTAAATGTAGAGATTTCATGCTTTAAAATGAGTCATTGTGAACTCTCATACGTTCTTTTTTTAAGCAACTATAGTGACTCAAATATCGACAATTTTTGGCCGAAGATTAGAGCTTCCTTAATTTTGTACGTGTAGTTTGTCAATGCAGTTAGATTACCCTAATTTAAGAAATTAATCGACAAATGTAGAAGCATGGTTTCCGACGGAAGACACGAGGATATTTTCAAGCGAAAGGTCAGAATTATTAATGGGCCTATAAGTGGCTCAATTTCACGCGATACAATTTCCGCCGGTCAATGCGAATGAATAATTAATAGGAGGATTATTACCGCGACACGCTTGTCATCCTCTTAAAATCCCGATGTTGCACAACACTCCGGCCGAAAAGTCTTTTCAATTAGCCAACGTTCGAAACGATTATCTGTTTCCATCAGCGGTACATTGTTAATATCACGCGCCACGACGTGTCAGGGGATGAGAATGCAAAAATGCCTGTCGAAACATCAGCGAATCAGCACGACCTACTTATCACTTGCATATTTCAAGCTTTTTCCACTTTTTGAATCATTGAATCCAAGGTTCTCAATTTTGATTTTCCTTCGAAATCAAAACTGCTGAGAAAAATGGGTCTTGAAATTTGATGATTTTTCGCACTACAGTAAATTCTCCCTAATTTTCCTTTAGCTTGTAAACAAAAATGGACAATTTTGGAAGTGGAGATACGATTATTCGTGCCTTTCACATCGTCTTTATAATTGTTGACAATCGGCTTATAGTTGCCAAACCGCGAGGCTCGAATATTCGTATGTTCTCTTCCCAAACTGTCCATTTTTGTTTCAGAAACTGAAGAAACATTAGGGAGAATTTACCGCGTATTCAATGCTTCGACGTCTCTGCAAAAAAATATAAAAAGAACGTGATTGTTGTTCTTGAATTATTTTGTAAGTAACAGCGCAAAGTGCGAATGGATCTCGTCGACAAGAAAAATCTTTGCACCAATATTAAAATCAAGGTGACACCCTCCTGCACAAGTTTCTTTCCTTTTTAAAAATGTACCAATGCAATAAATGCGTAAGTTATTATTGCTATAGCGATGAGGAAGATTCGATTAGAAGTATTGTCTTTTTGGAGGCTTCCTGTAGTCATAACAGAATTGATTATTTAATCCGGTTATTGTCGGTGCTGACCACTGTCAGATTGCCAGGAAGGAGCACGAGTGCTTCCCGAATCTTGTGCGAACTATAGCCGGTGACCGAAGTGGCCGCCATTACGGTCTTCCGTTCGACATTGAATCGCATCCCGAGCATTGTCTACGCATTCTTGCGATTCCTCGGGTGTCTACGCCGACAAGAGGAGCACGACTCGACCAACTCCACGGAATTCGTCCTAATAAATCTAATTCCTACGGGTAATTGCACTCTCACACTCATTCTAGTTCTACTAATGGTTCCCGAGCCATGGGGCCGCTTATAAAATTGACAAATTAAATTCTTTTCCTCCTGTGACGGCAAGACCAGTTAGTGCGGTGCTTTTCAAAAATGAATTATGACGTTAGATATAAAAATAACGAATAGTCACTTGCTACTAGGTTTACAACTATCGTCCCTTAAATCTTGAAGATCTACTAGGCACACGATTATTGTTCCTTTATTTTTTCAGTATTATTACGTTCACAACTATCGTTCTTTAATTCTTGAAGATCTACTAGGTACACAACCGTCGTTCATTAATTTTTATAGAATTATCACGTTATCAAGTATTGTCCTTTAATTCTCGAAGAACTGCTAGATTCGCAACTGTTGTGCTTTCATTTCTGGCGAATTGCTAGGTTCAAAACTATTATTCCTTATTTTTTTCGCAGACTCGTTAAGTTCACAAGTGTTTTCCTTAAATTCTTGAAGAACTATGTTTTCATTTCCGAACAAGTATTAGGATCACAAACTATTGCTAGCTAACTTTCGAAGTATCCTTATTATCACAACTATTGTTCTCTAATTCTTGAAGATCTGCTAGGCTCACGACTATTGTTCTCTAATTTTTGCAGAGTCATTAGCCCTATGACCAGTGTCCTTTAATTCTTGTAAATCTACCAGGTTCGCAACTACAATTCTTTAATTTCTGCATGATCATTAAATTCGTGACAATATTTCTTTAATTTTTGCAGAACAATTAGGTATACAGCTATAGTATCTCAATTTTTGCGAAACTATTACGTTACCAAGCATTGTGCCTTAATTCAACTGTTGTTCTTTTATTTCCGAGGAACCACTACGCTCGCGAACTATTGCTCTTTAAATTTCACAATACCCTTATCATCACAACCATTGTTCCTTAATTCATCAAAATCTGCTAGGTTCAAAACTACAATCCTTCAATTTTTAAGAAACCATCAGGTTCACAAAAATAGTTTTTTAATTTTTGCAGACCCGTTAGATTCGAAACTCTTGTCCCTCAATTTCTGAAGATCCACCAGCTTTGCAACCCTAAATCTCAAACATCTAACCTGCCACCCACTGATCAAAGAATATACGAGGCTCCTTAGCTACAAATGTGGCATGATACTCACTTGTCCTGGCAGGAAGCAGGCAAACCATGAACAGGCATAGAATAGAGGTGAGGATCCTCGAGAGATGGCTCGAAGATCTCTTCATGGTCCTCGGTGGAGGGTCGCTGAAAGGCGAAGGTGGATCCTCTGCGAGGATTCGCAGCCCGTGGATGATACGTAGCCCGCGGAAAGCCGACTGTGACTATTCCAGCAACCACCGTCCACGTACTGCAGCCAGGAGCGTGGTATCTGGACGACAGAAATCAGTATAACACCGTTTCCCTAACGCGGTCGGGATCAAACTCGCGTAGGACTCCCTTGATTGGCTCTAACGCGGGATAATTGCGTCGCGGCCAAGCCCGGACGACCTTAACCGCTTGATTGCCCGTAAATGACGCGCATTATCGCCAGGATTCTTTCGAGATTAGGCTCGTCGGCGTCTTCGCGAACGGACTGCGCCGTAACGTGTGCCGGAAACCGTGACCCAGAACCGAGAACTAATCGAGAAACGATATCGATGGAAGATCCCCGCTTGTTGCGATTATTCTGCGCTATTGTATCCTAATATAGGCCTTCTGCTATAGTCTTGAATTTTTATCGCTTCAATTAGGGAAGTATCAGAGGCTTTCGTTGATCTTCGTGCCGAGTATACCGGTTCGTAAGTATGAACGAACGTGTTTTGCTTGTTTAGTAAATATATGAACGTTGTTTCTCACTACTATGCTCGCAGTTCTTTATTCACAATTATTGAACAACCCCCAGGCTCGCCACTGTTGTTATTTCATTTTTGAAGAATTATTAATTGGACAATATTGTGAATATTTTATTTTTGAACAACCATCAGGTGTACACTGATTATATTATTATTTATCAAGCGCTATTAAGTTGACAATATTGCGAATCTTTGATATTTAAACAGCAATTAGGTTCACAGCGGTTGTTCTTTGATTTTTAAAGAACTGCTATCTCGTCGTTATTTTGAAAATAATATTAGTTAAATTCTTCTATTGTTTTTGCTGTTTAAATTGCACCCATTGATTCTTCTCCTGAACGCGTAAAATCTATTAAAATCCATTAAAATCTATTGAAACTGAATTTCATTCAAATAAACGAAAAAAATAGGAAGAATATAAATGTTCTGGTGTTCCTGCTGGATAATTAAGAATCAAGAGTCACCAATGATTATAGCAACGAAGATGTAATCAGGCGGGAAGGTGTTGATCGAGACGTTACGTTTTTCAAGTGAATTTCGAGGCGCCGCTGAGGGTTTTAATTGAATGGTGAAACGGTGAATCGTTTAGGCGAACGAAACACGGGGAATAAGGTAATTCGAGGGTAGCGAACGGTGTGGCGAAGGTGCGCCGAATCCCGCGACATAATTAATCCCATCGCTGCCAGTTGTTTTCACAGTGTCGCGCGTGCACGTACACAGGTACGTGCGTCATTTACGAGGCGTTTGCGAGTGACGTGCACGCCGTGCAATAATTTAACAGACAGTTGTTACGACGATGTATCTTGCGCGGACTGGTTTGCCCTGTTTGCAAGGGACAGCTAATTTCGTAGAATTATTTAACTGCCAGCGAAAGGAGAGAGAGAGAGAGAGAGAGAGAGAGAAAGAGGAAGGAAGAAAGAGAGAGAGAGATAGAGAGAGA